GAAGAAGATAAGTCAATTTTTACCATCTGTCAAGTGTAATATCCCTCTACAAGATCCAGGAGTGTACAAGCTTGACTGCGATTGTGGGCTCTCTTACATGGGACAAACAAAACGATCAATTAAAACCAGAATTAAAGAACACATAGCTGACGTGAAGCACCGACGGTTGAAGAAGTCTGCAGTTTGTGATCATATTTTAGACCGCCCCAACCACTACATTAGATTTGATCAACCGGAAATCCTCGCAAAAGAACACCGATTCCTTCCAAGGATGATCCGCGAGGCTATTGAAATAAAGAAACATCCTAATTTCAATAGAGAAGATGGTTGGAGTTTATCATCCGCTTGGGATCCCATAATTTATAAAATTAAATCCAAGCACACCAACACTGCCAGACCTCAAGATACCATAAGCTCCTTCTGCGTGGATCGGAATAAAAATAAACAAAATAATTGACGGTAGCCGGGGTTAACTATGACATCAAGACGTATAACAACTTAGTCTGTCCCGTGACCATGAACGCTGGAAAGGGTTCGAAACGTCGGGAATTTAAATAAAAATAAAAAACGCGATAAAATCCGTAAAGTAGTTTCATTTAAAAAATACTGTATAACGCAATCGTACGTCGCCATTTTGATTACGGCAGTTTCATCCTAGAGCCATGTAGTAAACTAGCTCTAAATAAGCTTGACAAAATACAGTCAAAATGTTTACGTATAATTACAGGCGCTATGAAATCTTCTACTATTAATGCCCTCCAAGTTGAGTGTGTGGAACCTCCGTTATTCCTTCGTAGACAGTTTCTTGCTTCAGGTATTTCTGCAATGCTGTTCAGTATCCCTCTCATCCTACATTAAAAACCTTACGTCTCCTTCCCTCCTCCATTAATACTTCCCATATTGGACCAATAAAATCCTACCCTTGTTAGTTAATAGCTTTAATACATACAAATCCCTGCCATCTCCTGCCCTTCAATTAGAAAACCACCCACTATTTATTACTAGTTATGATTCTCTTATATTTCAGCCTAAAATCATTTTAAACCTTGGGTTAGACAAAAATTCAGTAGAAGCTAACAATAAATTAAATTCACTTATAAATAACAAATTCGTAGATTGGGTCCTGATTTTTACAGATGCTTCAAAACTAGATATGTCACATATAGGTGTCTCTGTCTACATCCCAAAATATAATGTTTTTTTGTCCTTTAGATGCCCTTCAGAATGCTCTGTCTACACAGGTGAATCTATTGCTATTTTAGAAGCAATAAAATATATAGATGCCAATCGAAGTCATTTCTGTAAGTCTAAATAAGCAGGTACAAATAGGTGACACAATTCATTCGAGCATCCCCGCTTGTGATCTATGCTCCTTGGCCAAACCGCGACTAAGGAAAACTTAGGAGAATTTTGGCAACAGTCCATTTCTGTAAAAGGAAAATACTATGCAAATATTCAGCCCAATATACCATCCAGGCCTTGGTTTTTTAAATTTAAGTCCTTAGGTAAAATGATCACGTCTATTATAATACGCCTTCGTCTAGGACATGTTTGCTCCCCAGTGTTTTTAGCTAAACTGCATATACGAGACCACTCACTTTGCCAATGTGGCTTGGCAGAGGGTACACTGGAGCATTTATTTTTTTCTTGTCAAAATCTTACAGCCCCTCTTTATGATATCCTACCTTATAACTTTCCCAGGCCTGTCAATATTCCATTCCTTCTAAACCTCACTGATCCCCTTTTTATTAAAGTCCTACATAAATTTATCAGCTTAAATAACATTAAACTTTAACTTATACTGTTCTTTTAATTATGTGTTCTCTGTTTTGTCCTTAATATTTAACTATCTTAATTTATTATATTAAATTATAAATATTTATAAATATTTTAGGACACATTTTTTACACAACATTTTCCAGTCCCAAACTAAGCAAATCTTGTACTATGTGTACTAGAAAACTGATAAATATACTTAAACATACTGTTTCTTTTGTAAATAAAAACATATTATACATATATAAACACCCAGACACTAGAAAAACACCATGTTCATCACACAATATTTTTCCAGTTGTGGGGATCGAACCCACACCCTCTGGCGCAGGAGGCAGGTACACTACCCACTCCGCCATTCGGGTCGTCAAATTATTATGTATACACTAACCCATTGTTTATCCTTTGTTCAGGTAACTCAAATGGATCCGTGTAATAGTCTACCTACCATACAAAACCTATTATTACTGGCTATCGCACTTCTACTATCTGTTTTATTCAACCTTGACATTGGCAGAATCATCAAGTTATTCCTTGATGGAACCATTATATTAAAATTGGAATTGGATCTAAGTATCGTTGATTTTAAAAAGTATGGAAGGATCTTTGAGTACATAAAGAAAATGGATAACATTCTCTGTCTAGAATTATCATGTGAAAATTAGCCATTATTCTATTTGACGTGCGTGGGAGTAATATCGTATGGTGACCACGAAGATCTGAACGAAGTCCAACTTCCACTTGCCAGAAACCCATTTTCTAGTTACGACGACTTTGCAAAATCGTTATTTGAATGGAGTCCAACATAAAGAGAGCGACGGCTTTAAGGCTTGCATAAGGTTGAAATCAGTGATAGATAAACAGAACAAGAACTGCAGAAATGTATAGAAAGGATACGCTTACGGCACACACAACTGCAAAGATAAAGTTGTCAGCTTACCGTTAAACCTACCATCGAGTAGCTTAAGCGAAGAACTGAACACTATACCAGACCATCATTCGGTTTCCGGGCACAACATGACAAAACAGAGTTGCACCCTCATAATCAGCCAAACTCTGGAAAGTCAGGAGGATTGCTCAGCCGTCTTATTCAGTGTGTAACAAGCTTTCGACAGAGACTGGCACAAGGGCCTTTTATGCAAATTAAGACTTTGGTTTCCACAAAATGCATACTTTTTTGTCAACACCTAAACCACCGGATGTTCCTACCAAAGTGCAGAGACTACCTACTTATCGGGATTCGACCATATAGAAGCTGGGGTACCGTAAGACTCGACTGTCTCGAGACCAGTTCTACAAACCCACCTCCGAGCTACCGCATACTAAGATACCGTAGTTCTATTTTGCGGCAAACGCCACATCAAAGATTCCCTAAAAGCAAAAATAGGACGTTGATCAAAAATCAAAATCAAAAATATATTTATTCACATAGACGCTGGCGCGTTCTTATGAAACGTCAACGTTTTACATAAAAATTAATACGTCCGTAAGTAAGCTACCACCGGTTCGGAAAGCAGTCTGTTGAGAAGAAACCGGCAAGAAACTCAACAGTTGCTCTTTCTTTAAAACGATTAGTTTACAATATAATAGGATAGGTATAAATCTTACTTTAGCCTACGTGAGTTTCAACAGTATTAACCCCACAAATTGGCGTCGTTAAGATATTCCGCAATGGTATAATATGCCTTAGCCATAAGTTCACCTTTAATTTTGCGTTTAAATTGATCTAGTGGCAGACTTAATATCGACTGTTTGATTTTATTATACATGCGCACACTTTGCCCCATGAACGACCTGTTTACTTTTTGTAGACGAAACAATGGCGTAGTTAGTTTGTCCTTATTTCTAGTATTTAGTTTAATTGGGATGGGTAGAAATGTGGAGAATCCGAGCTAATACTACTAAATCTATCCATATACCCATCACCTTGAGAAGAGATGACTGACCACCGGTATTATTTAACGGCAACATGTTCCCGAGTTAATTTAAAGTGCTGACTGGCTGAGTACTTCGTAAAACCATTAATAATCATCATTAATTATCTTTATTCCATACTAGCTGTTAACCGCGGCTTCGCCCGCGCGACCAAAGGGAATTAACAATAACTTTTTTATTTTACACCGGAATATCTCACAGATGGCTGAATTTTTTCGTACTTAGTTAACTTATCATTACCAATATTTTGGACAATTCACACAATATCTTTATAAATTATAGCCTATGTGTTATTCTGATGTATAACCTATATTATTGTAAAGTTTTATTAAAATCAATTCAGTAGTTTTGTGCGTGAAAGAGTAACAAACATCAATCCAAGCACACAAACTTTCGCGTTTATAATATTAGTAAGATTGGACATATGGAGTAAAGTTCTGGGGGTCTGGTAGCCACTTAAATATAGACTTTTAGATTGTACAATGCTGTCAAAATAAAAGACTTCATGCTGTGTTCCCTGGTTGACAAGGAATACTGAAGTATATGAGTACCTAAAAATCCCAACTATTAGGCAGGACATTTAAAGGGCTTTTAAGGCCGATAGATGGAGTTCACCATGAAATAAATAAACTAGCAGTCATGCTCGAGGTTACGCAGTGAGAGGTGACGAAATGTCGACACTGATTAAATTGACTAGATGACGACACTTCAAGTAGATTTTAATCTTCACAAATTAGAGAGGATTAAAGGCTCTAAAATAATTGACTATCATAGGGCCAAAGAACAGTCTTTACTATTGCATGAATGGGCATGTCCAGATAAGTACCACAACCTCACAGAAGACCAATGTGAAGTGAAAGTGTTGTTCTTCTGTGTTTGTCTGGTGAGTGAAGTAACCAGGGCTCACTTTATTATAAGGTTGCAACGCATTTGCAACTCTACAGGTGTTGAAAATGCCCACAAGCAACAGTTATCACAACATCAGATATTAGTGGAAATTTTATACAAAAAAGCATAATAATAATTCCACTAAATACCAGTCTTCTGGATATATTTCTTTGAATAAGTCTGTGAAGTGCCTGAGGAAATATTGTCCCTTGGAAGAAGGGCTGTAGACAGCTAAAGTTTATTTAAGGAAGAGGACATGTTTGAAAAAGGCCTACCATAGAAAAAATCTATGCCTCAATTTTTATGTAAGTATAAGAAGTGGTCTTTCTTTAATGTTACACATATAGATCTATTTATGGTAGCATTAAATCAGGGCTGGTAACATTTTAAAAACTACTCACCCCTAAATGCAACACCTAAGAATTCATAGCTCCTCTCAAATGATAATGTGCTGTTTTCACAATCCAAAATAACTCTTATGCGTTCCCCTACCTGCAACATTTTTTTTCAATATTTAAATATTTCAAAATTTTTAAAACTAATATAAAATTAATTGAGCAACAATCAATAGCTATAAAGATCCCAAAGCATGTAGTTTAGGTACTAATTTGCCATGGCCTTGTCAGGTAGGCAATGATTAAGCCTGGGTAACCAGTAAATAAAAAATATCCACAAGTCTTCTCTGGACCCATATATTTATATGAGTATACCATATATTTTAAATCTCTATACGGTGTTTATATAAAGCATGTTAATATATTTTATGTTTGAGATATGCCATGAAAATTATTATAATATAAAAAAACCTTACTTGATATTTTGGACAGTTATTGAGAAGTGGATAATGGCCTTGTGTTTGTCCATTGTGTAATAGATGGTTATCAACTAAATTCCATCCCCAACTTTGTTCATCAGAACCTAATAAACCCACATAACCTTGACATTGTAATGGTGCATCTCTTGTAGATATTCCTACAACAGCTACGGTTCCTAGAGGTCCCTCCCATATAACTTCCCAAGCATGTCGACCTCTATAGAAGCCAATTTTGGCTCTGCATCCATCAGTACTTTGAGCAACTGGATTCCTGCAAATAAATGGTTACTGAAAAACGTAACATTACAGTTATAACATTATGTTCAATTAAACATGCCATAAAACCTGTGTAAAGTGAATCCATTAGGTTTGATATAAATATTCCTGGAACAATCACGAGGGCTCCACGCATGGAAAAACGCCCTGAGTTTTGATTTATATGTTTTAACAGAAGTTAATAAATCAGATTTCATTACTTCCTCCGCGAGTCTTTTATAACAGTGATATCTCCAAATGTCGTTGTTCTCATCATTAAGAATTTTTAACCAACTCTTACAAACCAATGAACAATTCCTTAAATCTGATATATTTAAATAAGAAAATATGATTTCTAAAACATAGTCCGGGACAAGTTTATTAATATTATTCGCATCACGATAATCACGATAATCACGATAATTACGATAATCACGAAAATCACGATAATCATAGTAATACATCGTATTAAATTAATATTTGTTTATTTTTAGGCGTCTAACCGTGTTTTAAATTATAGGTATATACTCACAGACTAATAAGATGACATGTCTAAACTTATCTAGTTTTCAATTTTCAAAGACTATTATTTCTATTCCTTTCTGTTGCCACAGACTACGACCGAAGCACTGATTTCTCATTTCCTACTTATAAAATATTAGTTAATGGTTTTGTAAAAAAAATTACTTGAGAGAGACAAAAATTTATCAATTATTGATAAATTAACTTTTTTTATTTATGCTTTTGTAAAATTAATCCTTATTTGGAAGCAAGGCATCTGCCTCGGAATATTGCGGTTGCGCATTGCCTAATCCTGGAATATAAATCTATGACCTTCATAATAATCGATGACTAAAACAAATTTTTACTTCTATTACTATTGAATAAAAATTACAAAAAAAAAATAAAAATAATTTTTATGTTTGTCATTACCTATTTGTGTCGACTGTAGGAAGTGACTTTTAACTTATCCTTTAAACGAGCAATTCTTGTCTATATATATATATCGGAATAATTAGAAAATGTCCTTTTATCCGTTTTCAGGGAATGCAAAATATCATTCGAATATGACGGTAAATTTCGGCGCAAAAAAATGTTATAATAGCTCGGTCGGTCGGTAATCTGGCGGCCCCAAAATAGACGGCCGCGGTTCGTTTACACACTTATTATTTTTTCTACTATACCAGATTATTGCTTTCTTTATTTATTTTATTTCCAAAATACATGAATTACAAAAAAAAATCCGAGCAAAGCTCGGTCCTCCAGGTACTCCTTTTTTAAGTGAAAATTTGTCAAGCGAGCAGATAGTTTACCTGGTGTTAAATGATGACCGTTGCCTAGAGAGCTTGCAGATATATTGACAACCTTTAAATAAGTGGGCTCCGGCTACCTCAATTACCAGACGAAACGCGAAAGTATCGTACTTCCACTTCATGCCGGTCTTCTGTGAGGCCGTGGTACTTCTCCGGACTAGATCGCCCATTATTGCAACGAAACTGCTGCGTGACCTACCACAGAAGAGCCTATCCTCATTTAAAGAAGTTCTCACTTATATACATAGGCAACAAAATTATCCATTTATCATTTATACAGGGAGTCTTTTTGCAAAGTGCCCAAATTTTCACAGGAGGCTCAGACTCGGTAGTATAATCGTTTATTGAAATAAAAACAAACTTTTTTTTCCAACAAAATTGCCATGTTATTCCCTAAAAAATAGAACTTGTTGACAATGCGGTAGGTATTCATAAATACTTAAATTTTACTGTGCACGCTCACAAACAAACGCTCGCGATAAATCGGAGACAACCCTTGCCGGCACGGCGACGGCGTTCAAAGCGTTGCGTCATAAAACTTCGTTCTCTTCCCCTCCACCCGCACTCGCTGACCGCTCTATGCAGCCTCTGCCCGCTGCCCTTCGCCGTTAGTTTCAATTTGACCGTGACCTAATTAAGGTCGCGCGTGCTATTTTTAGATTTGCTTATCTCTAAAGATGTCGAAACAACAACGCAGTTAATAGAACCGTTAATAGAACTTACGAGATGGTACGGTGCCACATCGCACAAAGTGACTCTTTACTTGATTACAATTACAATTTTATTGATTACAAGACCATCTATTGGAAGCTCTTAGAAAAATGAAGTAGTACGCTTGAGTAAGGTCGATACAGGAAGTGAGAGAGCGGACTTAACGGCTATGAGTTGTGGACGTCAATTGACATCGGGCACGAGGGTTGTTCTAAACGTGCTGGGGCACGTCACTAATTACAAAGGGACGGCGGTACGAACGGTCGTCTTCCTGTATCGAACTTTTTGTTGTTTTCATTCAATTACATCGGCGTGGTTAATAGTTATTTTCGTCTCTGTTGATTTTAAATCGAACAAGTAAACTACCTTGCTACATGATAACATTTATTTTGCGCGTACGCGTTGTCCTATGAGGGAGGGATCTGACAACTAGTTGTCCAATGTGGTCCCACAATCTCCCACATTTAAACACCGAATTGATGACTTCCTTTTTTGAAGTCCGTTAACAAAGAGAGTGAAATTATTAGACAATTTAAAAATATCGGTCTAGATCTAAATAATTCCAAATGAGAACTTCAGTTCTACACCAGGAATTAACGTAGTCCGTACACCTTGGTAAACGCAGCAAATTACCAAATTACCAACCCGACACTAAAGCGAGCGTTAATAAGCGTCGTCCGCATAACGTTCTCATCGACCCGGTGAGGAAGGGGAAGTACGTCGGACACACACATGCACAGTTAGTGCAATACATAAAACGTTCGTCCTCGCGTTTGAGCATGTACACCCGCGTTCCATGGCGGTGCTCACCGCCAGCTACCGACTAGCCAAACACAGTCAACGGTCATCGATATACCATCCGCTCAGAACCGATATATACCGAGTAGACGACACTCCTTAGCTAACGCACGCATGAGCACATGCGCGGCCCTACCCACTGAGCTGAGGAGAGCCTCAAACCCGTAGGTTCCGGCTAGCCCACCGGTTTTGAGTGCGATATAGCTTTAATAGTCTCGGGACTGAAAGCGTTAACATCAGTTAATCGGTAACCTTTTTTATACCCTTGGGCAAAATAGATTTTAATACTTTGAACATTAGGTTGCGTTTTGAGTGTAGTTCAAAATAAATTTTTGATTTTTCGTAAAATTATTGTTTTTTTAGTATATTTTGTAAAATATACTAAAATGGCAACTGCTTGTGATGTGAAAACCTTTCCTTTGAGACATTTTTGTTCGGCTATTATTTTTACAGTCATAAATTACGTATTACGGCATTATAAATTATAATAGGATTTACGATCAGGCGGACATGTATGACAGCGCGTGCGTCTCCCAAAGAGAATGTAATCACTACGCTTATCACTACGTTTGGCGTCTCCAATCTCGTCAGCACGGTTATTGTCACTAACTGAAGGCAATCACAAACTAAAAAAGTTTGTGAGTGCCTTCAGTTAGTGACGCTTTCGCTTAACTGTGGTCGTCGGGTTACGCCCACGTGCTGCCACATGGGACTTCCATTTGTTTTCTTTTCCGTGTACGTGAGGTTGTCACCGACACTGACTCGTTCGTTGAGCATATCTTTAGCTTGCTCAACGCGGAGTCAACTTCAAATTGTTTGTAATAACAAATTGCCGCGACGCCGACACGTCAGGTTGTAGCGAGAGCCAGATCTCGAGGCAACTCAAAGTCTCGAACTCATACCCACTCATGTCGATCGACTAAAAAGTCAGATCAATTCGACTACTTCAAACGTAACGTCGATTATATCGAAAGTGAAGGAATATAACGATATTCTTAACGGACTTCAAAAAAGGTTTCTCAATTCGACCGTATATATTTTTATTTTTTTTATGCGTGCTCGTGGATAACTTCGTCGCTTATGAACCGATTTGGATGATTCTTTTTTTGTCGTAAAGGAGATATCCCGGAAATATCGGATCGAAGTATATAGGCTAAAAATATCAATATATAAAATCTAAATATCGGTAATTTTTCGACATCCCTATATACTCTTTGATTTGAACTTTTTAGGTCTAAAATTGACACATTCATTTACATTGACACTTTTCAGTTTTACTTTTATTTGACATTTTCAGTATATATGTCATTTATGGTTTTACACCTGTATTTCTGTATTACTGTTAAATTAATAACCAAAAATCATTTTAACGGGAATAATTTTACTTTTTTCGTATGCTAGTGTAAATGAGTATTACTTATTATTATTACTATTTTACATATGAGTACATACATTTTGGCAATAAAATCCTGAAATGTTTACCGAAATTTAAAGTTTTGGGTCGTTTCAGTTAAATTAAAATGCCTGCAATTGAAATAAACGTAATGAATTCTGATGAAGATTACATTATTGCAAGGGCAAAGGAGGCGCAAAAATTGAATATACATTCCGCTAAATCCTGGATGCTCACTGCCAAAACATTATTCCCTACAAATTTTAAAATACAATTTGAAGCCTATTTAATGGAAAAACAATCGGGAAATGTTCAAGAAGCAGCGGAATGTTTTACTTCTCTGATGATGTCAAGACAAAATATTTCTGAACTACTGCCAGAAATATCGTCAATAGCAAATGCCCTTAAATCCAACGAACCTAGTTTTTTAAGTCAAATGTTTGACAACATTTGCCCTGATATGCAATTGACAATCCTTAAAACAAGTGTTGAAAATAGTGATGACACTATGGAACATTGTCGTCTATTAGTGCTGTTACTTAAGAAATTTCCACAATTAGGTGTTGACAGCTTAGTTAAAACATTAATTAATGCCGAAAAATTCTTTTATGATAACAGGTATGCCCGTTTATTGGTTGTTGAAACATTACCACTCCTAAGTTCACTGGAATCTCCAAGATTATTACAACGCCTTTTAGTTAAGGCAATTGATTTCTACAATTCTTATATGTATGATGACACAGAAAATGATATAGCAGACCCTTGGCAACGGCTCTATGGAGTCTTAGATTTGTTAGGAAGACAACTTGGTTGGGATACATATTTAGTTAATTATAACAATAGTTTGAATAAAGAAACATACTTTCAGAAGCTTATGTCTTTGAGAAGTTGTGAAGACTGTCGTCAGCTATTATATTGTGGAGTAACATTCTTTTTGAGGTCTCTTTATGAGCAAAAGTCACTCAAAGGAAATCATATTCTTGTGGAAACATTATCTGATCCAGATCAACCATCATCAAAAAGAAGAAAGGGTGATATTGAAGTAACTGGCACATCAGCCCATCAGTTTCAGGCAGCTGCTAATTGTTATGAACTCCTAAACAGCAATGAAGTAATAGCAAGGGAGTTTATGAAATTAGTTTCCCAACTACAGGTGAAACCATGGACTGAAGGTTTTACTGATGACATAGCACTTTTTAGGGGAAGATATGAAGATACAACTCCTCCAGCAACTGCTACTAATTTAAATGCCAACATAATAAGAGTATCTATAAACTTCGCCCAAAAAAAATATCCTGCATGTGTTGAAGCTATTTTGACTGCTTTACCACAGCTGCCAATTACAGAAGGCGTGTTAGAATCAGATCTCATTGTTGGTGGGAAACAAAGACATTTACACTTTTTACCTTTAACCAAAGTTGCTATAATGCACTACTTCTGTACTTTGCTCATTAGAATACTGTTAAATAATGGAAATAATTCTGACTTGGCTTATGGTCATATGTTAGTGCTTATGCAACTTGGGTGGCCTCAAGAAGAATCAATATTTATTCACATTTTGGATGTTATTAAACAGAAGGGAGTTTTCCATTACCACCTTTTTTCAGCATATATAATTCACATAGATATCCTGGAAGAACTTAGTTTCATGTGGAATGAACAAGGTAAAAATATAGCATTAGACATACTTCCAAATTCTCAGCAACATCTGGGTCAAAGAAGGATTGGCACTCGCGGGGCTGATAAAGGTGTGAAAGAAGACGGCGCCGTGCCGGCACGGGTCACAGACGTCTCAGATTTATCGCGAGCGCTTAGTTTTGTTTGTGTACGTGCTCAGTAAAATTTAGGTATTTATAAATGACTACCGCATTATCAACAAGTTCCGTTCAGTTTTAGGGAATAGAATGGCAATTTGTTTTTTATTTCAATAAACGATTATACTACCGAGTCTGAACCTCCTGTGTAAATTTGGGCCTTTAAAAAAGCCTCCCTGTATATATTAAGTAAAACAATTTTGTATAAACCAACATGCCTTGCAAATTCATCATTTCTTGGAATATTGTGGCTCACCATATCTGTATAAAACATGTCGCCATTTATACAGCGTGTCTTTACAATCGCGACAATAAATGAACACACATATAGAGGATAACTTTTTAAAATTGTATTAAACATTTACATTCTTTAAACATCAATATTTGCAGAGTTATTAAATTTTCCAAAACAAAGAGTTTTAGAACACCCTCACGTATAAAACTCTAACGTAAAGTTCAATTGTAAAGATTACAAAGCAAATGAATGGGTTGAATGAATTTAAGAGGCAAACATACTGTTAGATGGAGAGGCTTATAATGCGACACTGTGGCAACGAATGAAAAAGTCTCTGAATGTATGAATCATTCAGTTGTAGTTTTAAAGTGTTACGTTTATTTCTTTTTTACTTTATTAGTTTGTTTGAAAAATATTTTTTTTAATTATGGATTTTCTTAAAGTTTACTTTTTTTTATTATTATTGGCAAATAGCGATAGACGTATGTTCATTTATTGTCGCGGTTGTATCGACACATTGTATATTTGTCATTCAAATAAAGTACATGATATGATAACCCATAGCTCAAAAAAATATCACATTTGCTCCATATTAAAGCAGTAAACAAGACAATAACAATATTTTTATTTAAAATATCATAAATTTACCTTATGACCAGTCATAATACGAACTTGAGTCCCTGTCAGGCAATCCCACATTCGAACAGTTCTATCGCATGACCCTGTTGCTATATAATTTGAATTGGCGAACCCTCTGGATCCCCAGACTCCTTTTTCTACTGAATCGATGAGGAAACGTTATGCTATTGGCGTTTCCAAACAGTTGTGTTGGTTCCAGTTAATATTTTGCTGCATTTATAATGTTTCGTTTTATTAGTCTAAACTGATAGCACAATTTTGGCAGTCTGTAAGTTGTGCAAATCAAAGTTTCTGGGATACCACTTTACACGCTTTGTAATGTAGAAGAATTTATTTAGACAGGCGGCGTTGTTCCTAATTGGCGTCAGCTCTGTTTTTAATGCAGGGATAAAATTACATTGTGGAATCAGAAAGTGACCCCAAGGTTTTTAGACCCCCCCAAAGGGATTGGTGTTTTCATATAAACTCAGTGTTTGGGGAAGTTTGGCTATGGAGTAAAACGTATTGCTACGCTTTTTTCGGGGTTGCCGACGGTTCTACATTTGCTAAACCAATCAACATGATATTCAGCAGCACTGCAAAAATTTTGGTTCACAGGAAATTATTACACAGAGTCTAATCTATGTCATAATTAATATCTATCAATAGGCTCATCTAAAATTTTTAATATTGCATACTTGTAGAATCCTCTGAGCAGGACAAAAGCATTGTTTTAAACTGGTCAAATCCAACTTTATAAACAGGTCCAGAATGACCATATAAAGTGCGGCATGTGTCTCTGTCTTTCTCTTCCATCATTCTGACCAAAACATCCCCTGTGGAATAAAAATAGTTAATAGTTTTGGTAACCTCCTTTTTTATATTTCTTATGTATATTTAAATATATATTCTTAACATATACTGAGAAGCATATATAATGATAAGCATATAATAATTTTCTTAACATATATAATGAACATATATTAAGAATATATATATATTTCTTATATATATTCTTAACATATACTGAGCAACATTCATGGATATATTTTTTTATAAAACATTTCTAGCACACCTGCTTCTCTATCAATATCTTGTAGTTTTTCTGCAGACTTCATTCCACGTAATCTGACAGGTGTAAGTGTCCAGACCTGAAAATTAAGTACAAAATTATATATACCATTAATGTAATAATTATTATAATTAACACATATTTGTTGTACCTTTATTGTTGAGTTATTGAAGCCAACAGATAGTAAAGTGGAGTCATCACAAATATCAGCACAAATAGCTGTATGACCACTATTTAAAAGAGTGTAGAAACAAATAGATGGTAGGCAATCAGGGCCTAGTTGAACCCGTTTAGCTCTCAAAGCCTTGACTTTCTCAATTTTATCAGTTTCTTTTCTAAAAATAAAATATTTAGTTGAAGTAATAATCCTTACTAATATTATAAAGCGAAAGTTTGTATGTATGGATGGACGCACGTTACTCTTTCATGTAAATACTACTGAATGGATTTTAATGAAACTTTACAATAATATAGCTCATACATCAGAATAAGACATAGGCTATAAGTTATATACATTTCTATTTATATGTCTTTCTGTCTGAATGTTACGCCTTCAGCCTTTCTACGCAGACGTAGTCGCGGGCAGCAGCTAGTTTTAAATATAAAACATACACATTTGATAAGAATTAAAGAATTTCTAAACCTTTAAGGTGACAAAACACTGACTTTTACTTTATGAAACCTCCGATCAGATGATTATAAATTAACCACACCACTTCTACTAATAATGAAAAGAGTGCAATTGTTTCACTGTTTTTTAAATAGCTTGTTAGTTCACTATTATGTACAACAGTTGTAATTATAATAAGAGATTCGTATTGACTATCCACTTTTTTGGAACAATCTCGGCTGTATTGGATAATTTTTCATGCATCATTTATACCTCATCTTTATGGAAGCTATGAAGGTAGAAAAACATGACACATGATACATATAAGGAGAGTAATGGTCATTAAATATTGTTATTAAGTATTTAGTGCTATTTCAAATAACATTGTAGCCATGGAACTTTTTACAGATGAAATTATAATTTCGCACAACCTTTTCTATAGAACACATTTCACAATTGCTGTTGAGATAACATAATACTCTCCCTAAAGAGTTAAGTTTTATAGACTTATGATGATAGTACACCAAAAATGCTTACAATTCTGGCAGGGGAATCCTATCATTTGGTGGAGCATTCGGGTCAGATTTGGGTTTTTTCATAAAAATGTTATCTTTTTTGGCTTTTTTCTTCTTGGGCTTGTCTGGGGCTTCTTCAGTTTCCTCTTCATCTTCCACAGGTACCGGAAGAACTTGTATGTCGGGCTCCTTTAATAAGCCATAAAAAACCTTAGTGCGATTCTCTGTAAAACTTCATTAATGTCAATTATTAGGTACAACACAGTAATATTTAGCAAAAAAAAACAATTTCTTGTTTTACATGTTTAAAAAATGTATAACTGCTTTCTCTGAATTGTAGTGACTTTAACAACTGTTATTAAAGTTGAAACAAAATCCAGTGAGCATCTACAGCTTAAATAATGCCAATAAATTACCATTTCTTGCAGCTTCTCCGAGGAGGCCACCAGCAGTAGCACGCACTTGGGCTTGTGTCCTACCAGGACCATCATGCACATCAATTTGAATATGGTTGTTTATAATATTTATAATTACAGTTGAACTTTTCTGTTCTTGTAAGAACCTTTTTAATTGAGATGATGCATCTCTTGACAATTGTACCTCAAATTTGTTTGTGCTGCAAATAAAAAAACATGGACATTATAATTAACAGTAATTTGTTTAATAAATAACTTTAATTAAATCTATTTTTAATATAAAATAATAACTTTACTATGTTCCCTATTCAAAAATTCATCCAATATCAATGTGAATTTTAAATCAGACTAACCTGTAAATTTCAGCCAACTCGTTGCCCTTAATTTGTTCTTTATTCTTCACTATAGACAACTTTGCTAAGTCTTCTTGGTAATAGTCCTCTTGTTCAGGTCCAAACTTTTCTAAGAATTTTATTGCATGCTCGTTGTGATCATATAAAATAAGAAGAAGATACATATGCACAAACACTGGGTACAAGAGGGTTGATAATTCATACTGCAATAAATTTTATTATTTTATATGGAGCCTCATTTCTCATATTATATTTCGTATTATTAGGATAAGTGTGAAAATAATGATAAGAAAGTGGCGTAATGTACATGTTATCCCACCAGCCTTAAATATTCACAACTTGTCTTGTCCACCATGAAAGTCCCTCTGTTTAAATGTGATGAACTCAAAAATTACTGCACAGATTTCTTAACATGATTTCAACAATCAATATGATGGTATATAATTCACGAAGAAGGTTAAGGTGTAAAAATCTTACCAAAAAAAGCAATCAAGCAAAACATTGCAAAAGCTTGTCTACCCATAAAAAACTGGGGCAGAAGTCTTGTGATAGTACAAATTATTTATTACTTCGCTGAGCATATTACATGAGTATTAGTGTGTACCTCTTTGGAAACACAATTGCAATGAAAAATACAATGCAAAAGAAACTAATTTAAAATATGGTACTTTGAGTTTTGAGGTTCTGTGCATACTTTTGAAAGAAACTACGAAATTGTTATTATTAACACAATATTATTCATTCAAATGGTAATCTTAAAGTCATCTAAAATAAAATACAGGCCATAGATTTGTGTATACAACGAATTTGGTACATTCATTCATGTATTTATATTATTTAACACCATTACATACATTTTATTTTAATTATTTATAAATAAATTATTTATACCTTGTAAATGTCTAGTGAGTTTTCAATAAATTTTTTTAGGCTTTCGTAAGCAAACTCGTAACTATATGGATCGCTTTCCGTATGATGCGCTGTGAGAATGCTTGCTATTTCAACTTCTGGTAAATCTAAAGTTTCATATTCGATATCTCCCAAACTAGCTTCTTTTCTCAGAATTTCTTCCGTTCCCTATTATTAAAAAAATTGTGAATGTTTATGTCGTATTAAGGTTAGGATTAGGAGTTGATCAGTATCCAAGAAAAACACCTTAAGATTGTACTTTCGAAGCAGTTGAAGTACAGCTAAAAGAGGAGTAGATTTATCACCCATGATGACTTTTGGTATGGTAATTATTTTTATTTCATTTAATATTAGTGTAATTTGCACCAAAGAGAATGTAATCACTAACTAGTAACTACGTTTAATTAAGACTTCCATGTAGTGTTGCATATCGATAGTCTGCTATCGAACCAAAGAGAATGTAATCACTACGTTTAAGAGACGGGACTTCCGTACTATCCAAAAATATCAGTTTACGCGGCACTCCAATACCAACCATACCACAAAAATACCACAAAGATGTCAAACAACAGGAGTACCAACGTAACGAGCCTAATAGTGCTTAACCAAGCTAGTTTAGCTTCTTATCGATATCGATAAAATATACTAGGTAGAAACAGAGGTTCCCACTTAATATTTTTTTATTAACTTTAGGTAAGTATCGAGTCCGCATTTATGTCCAATGTTGATGAGTGAATATTTGGTACTAATACAAAACTGGACTTAAATGCGGACCCGAAATAAGATAAAAAACTGTTTCTGTTAATTCAATTAAAATTTTATTACTGAAATGAAATTTCTTTTTGTCTCTTGATTCTTCAGCCAACAGCTGTTGTCCTGCTGTACACGAATCTGGAAATATTTGAAACATAAAAATAGAATCAAAATCCAAAAATATTTTAGTTTTCTTGCATACTCAGCGCACGAAATTAATTATATGGCGTATCAATATTACAGAGATTGTTTTAAATCTTGCAAAATTCACCTATTACGATCCTTGCTCATTTATGTAGGCACACCATTCAAAAATGTAAAACTTTGTGCCCCTACTCTTTCACGCAACATTTTATTTCTTATTTTTTTCAATGATAAACATTAACGTAGTTATCGACATGTGGATATTATACAAGTACATCACTAGCACACAATTTATGACATGACTTTAGTTGGGATAAAATTTTAGCATTTTGAGGTCAAAATTTTTTGAAAATGTTCATTATTCTCTCTTAAGCAACTTTATATTAAGAATGTTAACTGGAGAAAGTCTAACAATAAAGATATTACATTTTCAATATTTTTATTTTGAGGTTTTACTGTGCGGCGTTTAAAAATTGTTACGCTTTACATTATTTGACATATGTAAGCAAATGTGACAGATGATATAGAACGTTTGATACGGAAAGAGATAGCAGTGTATAAAGTTGCAATGTATTTACACAAATTGGCGTAATTTGAATGCCTCAGTTTCCGCTAGTGCCATATCCACTTATTATTTGTATATATAATTTTAGCATTAACAGTAGTAAAAATATAAAAAATAAAACAATACATCTCAACCTAAACTTGTGCTTTCACAATTTTTATTCAAACAAAGTAATTGCAAACTAATTTACGAGTATGATTAACAAATGAAAACAAGTAATTAATGATTAAAAACAAAATAATAGATCACTAACGAAATTACATCAAAATAGCAGAATAACAAGTAACAAAGTAGTAAAATGACACTAAATTCGTATCCCGAGTTATCCCAATCCGTCTGCACCGAGCGCTACCAAGCAAGAAGTGTCCGTGCGGCGCCCAGTGTCGTGCTTTTTATAGGTTAACTCGGGATAGTGGTTTGACGTAGTGGGGTTACATCTAATACGGCCTCTCCTGACAGCTGGTCGTCCTCGATCCTGGAGTGTCCACGCTTTCCGATACGACCAGAGCGTGACCTAGTCCAGTTGTGGCATCGACGGTTCCATTGTCCCATGCGTAGGAGGAGGCGATGAGTTGACAGCGTCTTCAGCGTTGTCTGTAGACAGTGAAGCAGGTGCTGCGCGACCCAAATCGTCACATTCGCCCGGTTGCGATACTGGCATTGATGGACGAGTAGGCTCAGAGTGGTCGGCATCATCTGGAACCAAGCGGGTTAATTAACGAGGGCTGGAGACATCTTATCGTCCATCATACTGACTGATCATCTTTCCAAATATCTGACTAGCGAGTCGAACGCTACAGTTTGTATGGTGACTTTAGCAATTATTAACACATGTAACTGTCAACATGATGTACGACTGGGTATTAAATACAAATGACTAACAGCCAGCTAACGCCAATATGACTTAGCACAACGCCAGACTGGCTCTAATGACTTTACATAACGCTAGAATTACTTGAATGCTCTTCGTAACGTATCCGTTAATAAACGGTGGCTTAACAGCATATTAACGTCTGTGTGCGACTAGCGAGGTCACTCACTACGAACTAATAAAACAGCGACTTGATATTACGTCAACGCTCATTTTCGACTAGCGAGACTACTCACTACGAACAAAATAAACCGGCGACTTGACATTAAGTCAACGCCTATGTTCGACTAGCGAGACTACTCACTACGAACAAATAAAACAGCGACTTGACATTAAGTCAACGCCTATGTTCGACTAGCGAGACTACTCACTACGAACAAATAAAACAGCGACTTGACATTAAGTCAACGCCCATGTTCGACTAGCGAGTCTATACTCACTACCAACGAAATAAGACAGGGACTTGACAATACGTCAACGCTCATGTTCGACTAGTGAGACTACTCACTACTCACATAATACTCACGGTCAAAAAATTCTGCGCACGCTTCTGGGCTCCACTCACCACGCCATGGCACCATATGCTGGGCCGCGGCTTGCGTCGTGTTACCGTAGTCTCCACTGACGAGTTTCAATTCATACCGGGCGCTGGGCAGGATATTCACAACCTTGTATGGCCCACGCATGCCTGAATCAAGTTTCCCTGTGGACTGAGCAGTTTTAATTACAAACACATGGTCACCAACATGAAACTTCCGTGGAGGTCGTCTTGAGCGATTAACTCGCTCGTCTTGCTCAGTACGATTTCTATTGAGGAGTTGCTGAGCTCTACTCCTAGAGAGTTCCCTAAGAGCTTCCCGGTTAGGTGATGAGCCTTCGACAGCTACACTCGCACCAGGGCGCGAATGACCGGGGTCATTGCTTCGGTTCCTATGAGGAGATTAAGCGGTGAAGTCCGAGTGGTTTTGAGCCTCGTTATATTAATAACGAGTTGCAGTTTCCATAGAGTTTCTGCCCACGATGTATTTCTATGATTGGTCTCTATCCTAATCATATTGAGCACGGTACGCATGTACCTTTCCACCTGACCATTAGCGTGGTGCATTCCAGGTGTTATGTGGTGGAGGTCACAACCCAAGTCATTGATCCATTTGACGAACACATTTGACTCAAACATACGGCCCTTGTCAGTGATTATGAGCTTCGGTACTCCAAACAATAAGATCATTTGCGTGGTGACCTTTTTCAATTCTTCGGCATCCTGACGAACCATAGGATGTAACATGCAGTACTTACTGAAACTGTCAACTATGATTATGACATATTTGTACTCCCCAGACAACGGTAACGGTCCCAAGGCATCAACGTGCACTGTATGGAATGGTACGTCTGGTTTCTCCCACGAAGAGATTTGTTGAAGCGGTGCTCGAGGAAGTCGCTTGCTAGAGATGCAAGTTAGGCAATGCGCTATATACTTCGATACAAAGTGCTTCAAGCTGGGAAACCAGAAATGCTTCAGGATGAGGTCAACAGTTTTCTCAACACCAATGTGCTCGTGTTCATCGTGAAATATGCGGAGAAGACTAAGCCTGTATCCCTTGGGTATATAGCACAGCAGACGTGAATTCTCTCCGACTGGAGTATAACGGTAGTAGAGCAGATCATTACGAGCAACATACCTATTCGCGTCCAGAGTTCCTTTCTGCAGTCTTTGAAGCAGATCCTGAGTTTCTTCGTCGCTTTGCTGAGCAGTATGGGCCCAATTGCGAGGTCTTTGAATATTGTGCACCTGAGCTGCAGGGTTTCGACTAAGGTAGTCAGCGTGTGGCATCAGCACTCCTTTTCTATACTCAATCGAGAAATCAAAATCTTGTAAGTAGATCCACCACCTTGCCACTCGCGGTAGCAAATCTTTCTTGCGCTCCGTAGCTTTTAGAGCGTTACAGTCGGTGACGATGGTGAATTTTAACCCTACGAGGTAATGACGAAAATTTTGCAGTGCTTTCACGACAGCAAGCGTTTCAAGCTCGTACGAGTGGTACTTACTTTCAGCACCCTGTGTTACCTTGCTGAAATACGCGACCGCATGTTTCTTGCCGTCCGAATGGACTTGTAGCAAGACCGCCCCATAACCAATGCTACTGGCATCTGTATGGACCTCGGTAAGATACTTGGGGTTGAATATAGCCAGAACCGGCTCGCTTGTCAAGTAATTGATAAGTTCTTGACGGATAGACTTGTGTTCGGTTGTCCAGGAAAACTCGCAACCCTTTCGAGTGAGGTGAGCAATGGGGGCAGTTTTGGAGGCATACCCCTTGATATACCGTCGAAAATAACCAGCGAGACCCAGCAGTTGCCTTATCTGCTTAACGTTTACCGGCGCATTTGTATTAACCAAGGCCTCAACCTTTCGTACGCTCGGCTTCACCTGACCTTTAATGATGATCCTACCTAGATACTCTACCTCAGTGACTAGAAAAGAGCATTTTTGTAAATTGACAGAAAATCCTGCACTTGTAAGTGTTTCTAACACCCTATGAAGTAACTGAATACCTTCTTCTATGCTATTACTCATAAGTGAAACGTCATCAATATAAACTAACGTGTTTCCGGCGTTTATATGTTCGCGTAATGTATCGTTGATTATTCTTTGATACACTATAGGACTGTTAGCAAGTCCATAAGGGACTTTCAGGTATTCAAAATGATCCTCTGGCGTTACAAAACCAGTTAGGTGAGTGCATTACTCTTTTATCCTTATTTGATGGAATCCTGAAGCCATATCTAGACTTGAGAAATAAGTGTAGTTCCCTAGCCTGTCTATATGGTCGTCTATCAAAGGAAGAGGGTACCTATCCTTGACCGTAATGCGGTTAAGAGCTCGAAAATCTACGCAAAGCCGATCCGTACAGTCACGTTTCTTCACCAGTATAATCGGGCTGGCATACTCAGAGGTGGAGCGTCTTATAATCCCTT